CCAAAAAGCAAATAACCCTATTAAAAATGGGCAGAGGATCTGTGCAGACACTTCTCCAAAGAAGAAATTCAGATGGCCAACAGGCACATGAAAAGATGCTCCACATCACTAATTATCAGGGAAATGCAAAATAAAACCACAATGAGATATCTCCTCACACCGGTTAGGATGTCCACCATCCAAAAGACAAACAACAAATGTTGGCAAGGATGCAGAGAAAGGGGAACCTTCCTACAGTGGTGGTGGGAATGTAAGCTAGTTCAACTGTTGTGGAAAGCAATATGGAGGTTCCTCACAAAACTAAAAATAGAAATACCATTTGACCCAGGAATTCCACTCCTAGGAATCTACCCCAAGAATATAATTTCTCAGATTCCAAAAGACATATGCACCACAATGTTTATTGCAGCTCTCTTTACAGTAGCCAAGATATGGAATATACACCCTAAGTGACCATCAGTAGATGAATGGATAAAGAAGATATGGTACATACACACAATGGAATACTATTTAGCCATAGAAAGGAACAAATCTTACCATTTGGAACAACATGGAGGGAGCTGGAGGATATTATGTTCAGTGAAATAATCCAGGCGGAGAAAGAAAAGTGCCAAATGATTTCCCTCATTTGTGGAGTACAACAATGAAGCAAAACTGAAGGAACCAAACAGCAGCAGACTCACAGACTCTGAGAAGGGACTAGTGGTTACCAAAGGGGAGGGGTGTGGGAGGGCAGATCAGGAGTGAGGAAGATGGGGACTGATGGACAGTGAATGCAATGGTGTATGGGTAGGGACTTGATAATATGGGTAAATGTAGTAACCACACTGTTTTTCCATGTGAACCCTTCGTAAGAGTGTATATCAATAATACCTTAATAAAAAATTTAAAAGAAAAGAAAAAGAAGATGTGGCATATATACACAATGGAATATTATTCAGCCATAAAAAAGAAGGAAATCCTGCTGTAGGCTGTAACATGGATAGAGAACATAGAGGGTATTATGCTAAGTGAAATAAGCCAGGCTGAGAAAGACAAATACCATGTGATTTCACTAATTTGTGGTATCTAAAAACAAAACAAAACAAAGAACAAAACAGCAGTAGACTCACAGACACTGAGAAGGGACTGGTATTTATCATGGGGAAGGAGTTTGAGTGGGTGTATGTGGAGGGAGAGAGGGATAAAAGAGCACAAAAATCTCAATCATAAAGAAAGTTGGTCACCAGAATGATAGCATAGTATGGAGAATACAGCCACTGGTTCTGTAACATCTTGCTATATTGACGAGAGTAACTGCACCCAGAGGTGGTGAGGATTTAATAATATGGGTAACTGTTGAAGTACTGTGTTGAATACTTGAAACCAGTATCAGACTATACTTCAGTTAAAAAAAAAAAAAGAATGCAGCCAAGAAGCCTGAGAGCATGGAGGCAAAGGCAGGACAGTGATCAGGAAGATGAAATCATGAAGATTAGGAATTGTACCTATTAAATATGATAGAGACACTGACAAGATTAAGAAAGGAGTAAAAAAAACATGTCCTTACAAGTAGTGACTCTGTGGCATCTTATTACACTGATGGACAGTGACTTCAATAGGGTATGGGGGAGACTTGATAATATGGGTGAATGTAGTAACCACAATGTTTTTCATGTGAAAGAGTGTATATCAGTAATACCTTAATAAAAAGAAAAACAAAAACATGTTCTCAATGGTGAAAATATACAAATTATTTGGAACCATGGGGTCTATAATACTGTGTGTCCTACAAATCCCACTTATACCTCCAATACCAAAAAATAGGCAGAAGGAAGAATTCAGTATTATTGCATGTTATACACTAGGCACATAATGGGACTTCAACATTCATTAGCTCTAGTCCCTTATCAAACTGGCCAGTGTTTTGAAAAATTATTGTGTATACCTCTTACTTTGAGAAATAGGTTGAAACTAAGTTCTTTCCTTCTGGGATCACTATTATATACATCAATAATTGTGTTATTTGGTAATACTTCCTTAAATGGTTCCAGAAAGATGTGCCTTGCTTTTTCTTTCCTTAACAGAAATTATGTAACCAGACCTTGAATTTATTTGACAAATGGGATTTGACAATGTGGTAAGCAATTAGTTCAGTCTCCAATATACAGAGACGAACACAATAAAAACCAAAGACTTCATGGAGGTTACATTTCCATGTTAAATCCTGTATGTAAAGGAGAGATTTTTTTAATGGTTATTTTATTTATTTATATTTTTTATTAAGGTATCACTGATATATACTCTTATGAAGGTTTCACATGAAAAACATTGTGGTTACTACATTCAACCATATTATCAAGTACCCCTCATACCCCACTGAAGTCACTGTCCATCAGTGTAGTAAGATGCCACAGAGTTACTACTTGAAGTACAGATTCTTGGGAGACCATGTAGTCCTGCATCCTCATTTTTCTTTTTTTACAGCTTAATGGAGATGTAGTTCACATACTACAGGATTCACCCATTTCAAGTGTAGTCAGTGGTTTTTCGATAACTCCAAACTGTGCAACCATCACTACAATCTAATTTTAAAATATTTTCAAGAATTGAAAAAAAAAAAACCCACACCATTAGCAGTCATTCCCCATTCTCCACCGTCACTGCCAGTCCAACAACCACTAACCTACTTTCTGTCTATCGATTTACCTGTTCTAGACATTTCATATAAATTCAGTCACACAGTATGTGCCCTTCTGTGTCTGGCTTGTCTCACTTAACATAATGTCCTCAAGGTTCATCCATGTGGTACATGTCATTAGTACTTCATTCCTTTTTATTGACCAATAATATTTGTATGGATATACCACATTTTATCCATCTAATAGATGAAATGACATTTGGGTTATTTCCACTCTTTCTGGCTATTTTAAATTAGGCTGCTATGGATATCTGTGTACAACTATTTTTTTGAACACTGGTTTTCAACTTTTTAGAGTATATATCTGGAAGTGGAATTGCTGGGTCTTAATGGTAATTCTGCATTTAACTTAGTGAGGAACCATTTTTGATTCTCAAACTCTTCTCCACAGTGATTGCACCATTTTCCACTCTCCCCAGCAGATTATGAGGGTTCTAATTTTGCCGCATCCTAACCAACACTTGTTATAGTCTGATTTTTTAAAATTATAGTCATCCTTGTGGGTGTGAAGCAGTCTTACTGTGGTTTTGTTTTGCATTTCCCTAATAACTAGTAATTCTATGCATCTTTTCATGGTTTTATTGACCATGTTCTTTGGAGAAATGTCTATTTAGATCCTCTATCCATTTTTTAAACTAGTTATTTGTCTTTATACTATTGAGTTGTAAGAGTTCTTTACACATTCTGGATACAAGTCCTTTGTCAAGCATATAATTTCTGAACACTTTTTCCCACACTCTTGAGTTCTCTTTTCACTTTCTTAATGGTATCCTTGGATGCACAAAATTTTTAATTTTGATAATTTCAAATGATCTATTCATCTATTTTTTTCTTGGGTCACTTGTGCTTTATTGGTGTTATAGCTAAGAAACCAATGCTTAACCCAAGGTCATGGAGATTTACTGTATGTTAGCTTCCAGGAGTTTTATACTTTTAGCTGTTACATTTAGGTCTATGGTCCAAGTGGAGTTAATTTTTAGGTAAGGTGTAAGGAAAGGGTCCTACTTAATTTTTTTTCCATGTGGCTACCAGTTGGTTCCAGCACTATTTGTTGAAAAATATTTTCCTTAGTGCACTGTCTTAGTACCCTTATTGAAAAATCAATTGACCATACCTATGAGGGTTTATTTTGGGGCTCTCAAGTCTATTTCAAGTATTCTTCTTGTCTATCCTTATGTCAATACCAGTGTTGATTACCGTAGGTTTTGTAAATGGGAAGTGTGAATCCTCCAACTTTGTTCTTTATCGAGATTACTTTAGTTATTGTGGGTCCCTTGTATGTCTATATGAAGTTTAGGATCAGCTTGTCAATTTCTTAGAAAAAAAACAAACAAAAAACCCATATAACCAGCTGGGATTTTGTTTAGGATTGTGTTGAATCTGTAGATCAATTTACAGAGTATGGTGTTTTAATAATGTTAGAAATTGTCTGATCCGTGAACACAGGATGTCTCTCCTGTTGGTTTTTATCTTTTCCCAACTTGCCCCTCATATTTTGAGCCTTTGTTGAGCAATTTGTTCACTATTCTGCTGTTTTGCCTCTACCGTGGTCTGGAAAGTGAAATAAACTTTACCTGTAGAACTGCATGTTTTTCCAAAAAAGAAATCCGCTGGAAGCCTGTTATTTGGACGCAGTAAAATGCACAGACTTTGTGACTGTCATCACCGCTCAAATATTCTTTTATGGTCAGTCATGAGTTCATAACTATAGTCTAGAACTTATTACAAGTCTAAATCTCTGAATAAATGGACCCATATCATATAAATGCGACAGTTTAAATGAGTATCAGTTATTAGCATGAAAAAGGAAAAGTATATTACTGACACCAAGTGAATGACTAAGAGGTATTGTCACTAAGAGGTATTTGGAAGGGGCTATGTCAGGTCAACAAATGAATCAGAATTGATGAAGCTATGGTACTAAAGGAATCTGTCTCCATTTATCTAGAAACATACACTTTTCACTAAGATGTGAGTGAACATTAGTTGTTTTTGAGTAGGGGCAGATTTTCCTGGTGGACAAAACTACTGTCTAGATCTAGTGGCAGTCTGTGGCCATGTAAAGTACTTCTCTCAGAATGTCATAGAGCAATCATACTGCTGAGCCTCGTATCTTATTTAGCTGTTTAGGAAGTGAGACTTTTTGCTGCAGGAAACAGCCTGCTGACTTGTGTGGAGTAGGCCTCTTCTTTGGCAGCCTGGATGTGAGCAGCACCAGTCTAGCTGAAGCAAGCTACTCTGGGTGGATACAAATGGGGCACTCCTGGTCAGTGAACACCACATTCTTACCAGCTGGCTGTGAAAAAATGTCAAAATTCACCTTTTGGACTCCATGGGTTTCGAGTACACCAGAAATAGGAGAACATCTGAATGCTGCATAGGTAGTTCTAAAAACATCTCCACTTTCATCCACTCCCTACAAAGAATCATTTAAACAATCAAATGAAGAAATATGAAAGCCAATGGATCCACTTTGAATGTTACCATTACCTTTGTGGTTTTTGAGGATACATAACCCTGCTAGGCAGTGGGCAGAGAGCACTTCTTGATTTTGCTCACACAGGCCTTGTGATAACTTTTCCGTGTCAGCTGCCACTCCTTCCTGGCTAGGTGATTTTTTAGGATGCTGTTCATATTGTCAGAGAGCTGCCTTTTCCTAAAGACACTGAAGTCCCCACTGAATGTGCATTTTATCATCCTATGCAACGCCAGTCTGTTCTTTCTGTTCAGTAGGCCCAGCTCTAGCACTTGTATCTTTTATACACATTCTGTTAACATTATGGTTCAAAACTGTTACTGTCACACACAAAAAATACATGGCAAAAAGGCCATGGTATTCTAGAAAACACACATGTTCAATCAGGCAGTGCCCACCAGTGAAGACTATCTGCTGTACATAGTAAGCTAATAGTCACTGGCAAAGAAAATTCAATTCCATCTCCTGTACTAGGTCCCACTGACTGAAAATATGGGAGAGAAAAATGTACATGCATGCACACACACAATGTTCTATAATAAAGTTATAATATACTTTTCAAAATAACTTATTTCAGGTAAAAATCAGGGATGTTTGAGATAACATTAAATGGAGGAAGCACATATTTCCACATATACAGCCTAGTTTGATTCAAAGAACCACCTTGTGAAAAAGACTGGCCATGTACTAGCCCCATCTATAGAGAAAATCAAGTAAATGAAATCATGGAACTTTGACCAATAATCTCAATCTCTGCTCATAATTCAGTTTTAAAACACCCTGTATGAAGTTTAAACATTAAAATGAATACATTCAAGGCAATTATCACTGACCTTGACATAAGCTGGAGCTAAAGATGACAGATACCACTTCATTTCTATGTTACCATGATTTTCAAGTTCCAGGAAATTTTCTAAAAGGAACACATGTACAACAATTCTAACTCTTAGAGAGGCAATTTAACAAGCATATTATTTTGCAAATGTGTGATAATTACTGATTACCTCATTGTAGAGAAAAAAATACAACCATAAGATCCCTAGAGGAATCCAACAGGAACTACAGCATTTTCTAACAAAACCAAGTTGGCCAGATATCCTATTTTGGATTTCATCAAAGTCCACTAAGGGGGTAAGCAAAGTAGCAATAAGATTTACAGTTTTAGAGAATTACTGGCTGCTGTGGAGAAAGGAGACTACAAAGGGTCAAGGTGGAAGAGGAAGCCCTGGGAAGATAATCACTGCCATCCTTGGGCTTAGAGATGGTGCACAGGGGGTCTGCAGCAAGCTTGAATTAAGGCAAGGGAAGGAAAAGCAGTAGGCAGAAATGGGGTCTGCTTTGAAGACAGACTGCAAAGGACCTGCTAGTGGACTGAATGGAGGAGGGAGCATAGATGCCCACATGCAGAAGCTGAGAGGGTGCTGGTGTGCACCTCTGGGGCACAGGGAGAGCAGAGAGAGAGAAGGCCCAGGAAGAAGAGGAGTCAGCAGGGGAAGCTGGAAGGAGTAGGAGAGGCAGGAACAACCCAAGAGCCACAAGAGGGCAGCATTCCAGGCAGGAGGAGTGGTCGACAGTGTTTGACCTTTTGTCAAATTAACAGACATAAAAAAGGCCCTTTCAGTGACCTCAACAGGAGTGGGTTGGGGGCATTGTGGTGGCAAGCAGCCAACTGGCCGGGTCAGTGAAGGCAGGGAGCACAACTGTCTCACTAGGAAGGGGCTCTGAGGAAGGGGCAGCTGCCCAAGGACACCGGGCCCAAGAGGCATTCTCAAATAGGTGCTGGGGAACCTGCGTGTGTGATGGAAATGTGGCCCCAGAAGGAGAAAGCTACCCAGGAGACACGTGGGAGGAGGAAGTTCTTGAGAAGCAGAAGGGTTCATGTGATGGAAGCAGAAGCCATTCATCTAGTCTAATGGCCTCTACATTTCCAAGAGTGTGTGAGCAGGAGGGGAGGGGCCTGAGAAGAGGCCATTAAATAACTGTTGGAGGAGGGTACTGCCATTCACTAAAGAGGGCTGATGGAGAAGCCCCAGTGTATGGGTACCTGAAGCTGAGGTCAGGTCCCCAGCAGGATCTCTGCCAGGGCAGCTGTGCAGAGCAGACACTGGGTGCAGAGGGAGGGGCAGTAGGCAGTCAGAATGCTAGTGAGGCAGGAGCTAAAGCCACAGAGCATGGAGTTCAGGGAGGGCTGTAAGAGGGCTGGGGTGAGGATGAAAAGATAGCAGCATGGTCACAGGGAACTGCAGTAGCTGCTACAGGAAGTGAGCTGAAAGACTGGATGGGGTGGGGAGCCAGTTGGGAAGTAACAGGCTTGAAACTGAGGTGAAATAGCTTTTGGTGCATGACAAGGTCTGGGAGAGGACTGTGAAAGGAGGAAACTGAGCTAGAGTGGAAGTAAGCCAGGTTACAAAATGGTCCCGACTCCTTTTAAGGTCCTACATACAAGCCTAACCATTTAGACTGAGCTATCACAGAGAGGGAGGGAGAGAGAGAGGAGGATTTGCAGGACTTCTGAGCAGTATTAGTGATCTTGAGGGCTACTAGATTTCAAACACTATACTAAGTGCTTAACAGGCATTATTTCATTTGTTTCTCAAAGCCCTCTGTAATAGGTGTTAATTACAATGGCCATTTTACAAACAGCAAAACTGAGCAAGTCAAATTAACTTCTCTAGAGCCTAGAAGTCACATTAGTAAGTGACAGGGCTGGGCTCAACCCATTTTCCTTCCTTCTTCAGCTTACTAGCAATTCTGGTGAAGACTCTAGTGAGGGTTGGGTCTAATCAAATAAAATCAAAGGCTCCTCAAATATAGTTATTAAATACCTAGATTTAACATCTCATGATTTTTAAGCTCCCACAAATCCAGCTCATCAAAGAAATGGCTGCCAATGGCTACTTGATTTTTTTCCTGAAGTAGGGGGACAATTTTGTGCCTGTCACTAACGTGGTAAACTAAGAAAAGAGCCCTGGACTCAATATTCCAGCAGACACCTGAATTACATGATCCTGTGATATGATACCTGAAGTTTCACCAGGTTCTGTTGTAGGAAAAGTCATAGTCTTGTTCCGTATCTTAACTTCTGTGGAAGGCGGTTTCACAACTGGTTTTACCAGATGACTGACTGAAGGCTCAGTTATGCGGGAAAGGATTCCAAACGGGCTGGAGGCCACACGAGGGAAAAGGTCTTCCTGGGTCAAATCTTCTCGGATTTGGACTTTTACAATTTTCTGAAATGAACCAAATAAGGGGTAAGAGACAAATGTAGCTATCATTTTAAAAGAAACAATTCTGATATTTAATTCATGGCAGAGAAAAGTGATGCCAACAAATGAAATGCTGCTGAATTTAGAAATTAAAATTTATCAGGTCTCAAAGTAAATCTTTGACTTTATCCTTGTCTCCCTCAACTTCCTTCTTTTTTTCAAAGCAAACTTTGGAAATAATAATGGCTTCCAGGAGAACTGTTCAGATCACTAAAGGAAAACCTCCCTACTAAGTGCTCTATTTAAGTAAGTCTAGTTGGGTAGAAAAACACCCCCTCTTTGATTTCTGAAATGTAAATGCCAATAGGGATTATGAAACTTAAGCTGAAAAAGAAATGTTGCTCAAAAAAAAACTTTAAAAAAGTACCTTCTGTCCATTGTCACAGTGTATATAGATCAAACCACTCCATGGGAATATTGAATGTTTTGTAGATAAGGAAGAATTAGGACTCACAAGAATTTGTAGCTTACTCCTTAAAAAAAGAATTTAAGAATGAAACTCAAGAATATCCTACACTTTAATAACAACAACCAAGAGAGTTATGCATACTGCTCTGACAGAGATCAACTATTTCCTTATTGCTTAGACAGAGTAGGCACAGATGTGAGCTCCCACACACTTCATTCTGTATCCACCCCAGCCCACTGGCTGACAGAGAGCAGAGTGCATGAGCCCATGAAGTTAAGGGTAAAACTCTTGTGAAAACAGACCATGCCACAAAAATAACATTTACAAAGCAATTCAAAATAAAAATTTCTGGAGCAGAGACCAGTACTACAAAAGCTCTGAGCCACTTGATAATAAAGAATGATAGTCAAGGAACAAGCAGAATGTAAGAGCTGGGGAAGAAACTGGAAGAAAAGAGGGCAGATGGCAAGGGAATTTCAAAAGATGGCTTCTTTTCTGTACTCAGTCGCTAAAATTTTCTGTGCTCACTGCTCCCTTCAAGAGCTATGGGATGTGAAGGATGACTTTTCAATGTGGACAGTGTAGTCAGATTTTTGACTTGAAAGAATTTACAAGTTACAAAAGTTATTTTGGTACATACGTCAAAAATGGCAGAGCAAGATTATTTTCCATTGCTAATAGCTAATACATGGGGTGATGGAAAGAATATCTGTGAACAATCTGACAAATCAATTCAACCACTGATCAGATGCTTAAATTGATGGCTTGGTCCTAGGGATGCTTCTCTGGAGTGTCCCTAACATGCTTAGCTCAGTCTCAAACAAACTCTCCTAAAATACATACTCCATCATTTTGCAAAAGTAAATAAACTTCACACTGTTCTTCTGCAAAGTTACTATTCCCAAATATGAAGCAACTTTCAGATATGAATGCCCCGTACAGACCCAGATGAAGTCCTCCAAAAGTAGCAGAGCTGTGACTTCACCTCCTATAGATAATTAAGCTGCATATACAAGACAGCTGCCTATCAGTATTTGGCCCCCAAAGACGTCCTTCTATCATAGAATATTCTTTGTAGAAAGTAGCTAGTTATGGCTCAGACATATTACAAGTCAGGAAGCTTTGTCTGTAAAATACCCTTTAGACAAAATCAGCAGAATAAGTGAGCCAAATCCAAGATAACAAAGGACAGAACTATATGGGCTTCAGATACCACCCCTCATCACCTGCCCAATATTATCCATTACTTTGTAATTTTGAAGGAAGAATAAATCATCAGAAAACATCCTGATGTCTTCCACTCCAGGAAATCTTTTCCACCTCACAAGTCTCTCTCTTGACTCTTTCAGGCTATGCACTGTAACTGGCTGCTGACATGCTCTTTGCTCCACTAAATGGCATTAGTCTTTCATTCACTGTGGCCCCACAAAACTACCCATGGTGTTTTGAACAGAGTCAGCACACTGCAACATTCTACTGAATAAATTAAAATGATATATATTCAATCCGTAAAAAGTTACCAAGCTAGCATCTGAATAATACCCAAAGGAAAGGGAAGTCATACTTACTCTGGTGTGATAAATCCATGTTGTGGTGTTACCATAAGGCAATGTGCTGGCCAGTAGAGCTCAAATTTCAGTAACCTAACAGAATTATTTAAAATCTGGAAGCATCCAGGTTTTGCCAAATCACCTATTACATGAGATAAATAAAATGTTACTTATATTTGCATTAGTGAAAAACACAAATGCTAATACATAGTAAAAATGAATCCTAAATAAAAACATTAGTATACCAACTTATTTTGCTTTCTCCAGCCCAAAGGAATTTCAAATCCTTTGTAAAGCAAGACCATTGTTTACTCTTGAAAATTACAAGGATACTGAAAAAACTTCAATACTCTGCAAAGTTAGTGAAAAAAGGACATCTAGAAATTGTTATTACCTGGTGTTATCCTGGGCACATTACACAGATACCAGGTTTGTTCCTACTATGAGCCTACTATATCAGTGTTAAATGTACAAGAGGCCAAGTGCTAAACAAGCTCTTTGGGGCAGGGGATATGGTGGGAGAAAGGACCATGGATGGGTCCACTTTCATACGGGCCCTGGAAGCTTGGACTGAGAACTGGGGACTGTGGCCTTGTGTTGGGACCACGCCTGGTCAAGTCTTGAATGGGTCCCTAGCAAGTGAGCAGAGGACCTGAGTGTACCACCAATCCCATGCACTAAAGTCTGTTCACATGTCCTAGAGGAGGCCAGGCAGAGTGAGCATAGTCTGGGTTCTTGAGGGCATTCCTGTCATGGCCTTGCTGATATACTCACAAGGAGAAGGGGCTACCAAAACCAAGTGTTCAGGCTGGACAGCCCACATTTCTTCAGAGGATGACTTATCTTGAGGTGCGGGAACAGCTTGTGAGAGGAGTGGAAAACCTTGAGGGCCTTTAACCGGTAAGACATCCAAAGATGCACTGCCGCCATGCTTCCCAGAACTGCCAGTGTCACTGATGTGCACACACGCACACACACACATAGAGAATAAATTTAAAATGATAAAAAGCCACACGGTAACACGTTTTTACATTAACTCCTCATAAACCTAAAAACATTTAGAGAAAACTAAAAGTACATTATATGCTGTGGATTTTTCAGTGAATAAAAATACTTCACATTGTGTGTTCTTAAAGTAGTATAGGTCAAATATTATTACCTCAACCTTTAATTAGAATACTTGGTGATTTAATTTATTTCCTGTCTTGACTTCTGCATGCCCTCTGGGGCCTCTTAAATTATATACTAGATATTATCCGACATCAAGAATTTTTTAAAAAACCAATGAAACTCAACGTACCTATAACTGCACAATAACAACTTGGCAAATACTATGGTAAGAAATGCTAATAAAGTTTAAGATTTTTATTAAGGGTTGAAACAGTGTTTTCCACTAAGTCCTAGAATATAAAAAATTGTGATTCAAATACATTTTGCACTCATGAAGGCACATGACTTAAATGAAGTTATTCTCCCACTATACAGCAGAGTTACATCTTCAGGTCAACACTCAGCAGAGAGAAATTCTTCTCTTTGCCACTTATTCATACCCGCTCATCCCTTCCTTTTAAAATCAGACCTCTACTGCACACAGAAATAATGGAGGCACCAGTGAAAGTCAGAAATACTTTTTAAAAAGTAAGAAGTTGGCTTTTTATTTCCTTAAACCAGTTCCTCATGATTTATAGGATTTTCAAGATAATTTTTAATATATATAACCACTATCTTTAACTCTATCTTTAAATATCTTTAAAAAATTAAAAGTATAGGGAAAAAGCAAGTAAGCTGGCATGAGCTGGGGGCACTAGGGTGATGAGGGTGAGTGGCTGGGTGAGTCAGAGGCGCACTCTTGGCTGCTGGCATGGGGACTCGCAGAGAACTCTCAGCCAATATGGGTTGGCAACACTGACCCATGTGATGAGAAGATTGTTAAAAACAGGGAGATTGAGTAAAATGTGAACATGCTGAGAATAAAGGGGCCAGGATTCTCAGTAATTGGAGAAAAAAAAGGTACAATTACAGAAAAGAATCTACTGTGCTAGATGGGAATTGGAGGTATCTGTAAAAACTCATGATCTTAACAAATTTATGGGCAGATACGGATACATGTGGCTTTATATATAAATGTATGTACTTCTCGGACCTCAGGGGGGCTAGAAGTAATGACACCTCAAGAACAGTAGCACTATTACCCATATACTGGTTGCTAATGTATCTTCTCCATTTCATCAGGGAATGACCAGGAAAAAAAGAAAGATGACTTGGTCAAATCCCCTTGTAATCTTGCTAATGACATCTCCCAGCAAAGCACAAATGTCCTTACCTAAGGAATGCTCTTAATGGGATGTTCCTGGTCCATCTAGAATTGTTTATGGTAAAGAAATCCAAAATTAATGAATTTATGTAGCATAGATGTTTGAAAACATCGTGGAAGTTATGTAGTTATCAAATTATAAAACAGAGAACTTTTGGGATTGAAATAATTCCCAATTTTGCATAAACTATGTATCACGTGCACAACTTAAGTGACCTTGGGTTAAATTTGAGCCAGAGTGGAGTATTAATCCTTCAAAAAGGACCTCTGAAGCACTATTAGTAATCCTGGATTTCCTCATGTTTCATCTAAAATTATCAGTAAAGCTTAATTCTGCATAATACCTTTGACTCTGTGGATCTCATTTGATAATCCAATCTTTGTGTTAGTTCAGTCATGAAAGCTAGGCAAAGACTGAGAGAGCGTATTGAAGGAGAGTGAAGAGACAGGCTGGCTACATACAACATGTGATCCTAGATTAAATTCTGGACCAAAGAGGAAGTTTCTTGTCTGTTTGACTTAACTACAAAGGACATTATTGGAGAACTGGGAAATCTAAATGCAATCAGTAGACTAGATGGTAATACTGTATCAATATTAATGTCATAATTTTGATGGGTTCACCATGGCTATGTAATAAAGTGTGTTTTCAGGAAATTCAGGGCTAGTTAGACTTCATGCCTGCAACTTCTTCTTAAGTGGTTCAGAAAAAAGTTATATTTATATATCAATAACGATAAGGTAAAAATGGTAAAATGTTAATAACTGGGGAATCTCAGTGCAGGCAGCATATGGAAGTTCTTTGTACTATTTTTGTAGTTTTTCCATAAATTTGAAATTATTTTAACTTAAACTAAAACATAAAGGTGAAATAAACATTTTGAGACAAAAAAGTAAGAGTGCAGGGAAAAGATCAGTTCTACTGTGAATCAAATCATCTTGAAATCTGGTGAAAGATGTTTTATTTGCTTGTTTTACCTTTTAGATTCTAAGCTTGCTCTGAAAGAAGGCTGAAAAAATCCTCTGCTAGAAATGGGATCTCTGAATAGTCCAATTACTGAAAGTATAATTTTACGAATGTTTCCATAAAAGAGCTGAACATCATTAGGCTGCTGGGGAAGATCATATGCTGAAACAGAAAATAATGTTTGAGATACATGAATCTTCACATAATCACACCACAAAATAACAGGTAAGCTTATAATATTTATAGTCTTAGCTTGGGCGTAGGAGACATTGGTTTTTCATAGACAGTTCTGACTGGCAGCTCAGGCTCTAGCCATGGATTAGAACTAACCAATCCCGCCAATCATTAACTCTATGACCTCTGGCAACATAGCCTCTCTAAGCTTTGTCTCATCAAGTATGAGAGGGAGAAACAATTCATCTCTTGGGTTTTGTAAGCATTAAAATAAGAATGTTATTAAAGGTATCTGTGGGAACTAGCAATTATGTAAGTTTCCTGCAGCCAGGATCTGCTATATATTATTCAGGTAGCACCATCACTCTGAGGCGGACATCACTATCATCACTTCAAAGATGAGGGATCTGAAGCATAGAGAGGTTAAGAGCACACAATATTTAAGTGATAGCACACACACATTTAAGTTAAACTACAAACCAGGCAATATTCATGTAATAGAATATGTAGATTTGTAAAATAGGGCTGAAGTTGCACATCTCTATAGATTAGTCCACCTGAATTTACACATACAAGAAATTTTATACAGCACACTTGTATTCAATATACAAAATGGTTATTAAAAAGTGCATTTTCTGGTGACCATTGGAAGATGGTGGTGTGAGTAGGGTGGCAGAAATTCTTTCCAAAACCATATATATTTTGAAAATACAGCAAATACAACTATTCCTAAAAGAGAAATCAGAAGATATAGTACAACAGCCAGGCTACATCTATGTCTGCGAGAACTCAGCATCCCACGAAAATGGTAAGATACAAAGCCGTGACCCAACGGGACCCAAGCACTCACCCCACCCCAGCTCACTGGTGGGAAGAAAAGAATAAGAGTGGGAAGGAGTGGAAGCACAGGACTGCTAAATAACCAGTCCTAATAATCTGCACTGGGAGCAGAGACACACATTGTATGGTGTACTGGATATTAGAGAAATGTAAAAGTAAAATCTGAGATGGAGACTGCAAGTGGGTCCTCACAGCTGGCCCCGCTAGGACAAAAAAAAAGCAGGCACTTTAAAAGTCTTAAGGGCACAAGGGTATAACAGGTGGACAAAATCGTCCAGGCACACTCAGCCCAGCAGGCTGGGAATCTTAAGGAACTTCAGGCACCCTAACCTCCAGGGTGGCAACGCAGCTCCGAAGCCCCCAGGGTGATAAGCAGCCAGCCATTTATTTCCCCCCAACCAGCACTGCAAGCAAATGGACTGACCCACTACTGCTGTGGACCAGCTGGGGGCCAACCCCACCCACAGAAACCACACAGAGTCTTCTCCTAACACGCAGCTAACCAGGCCACACCCAGAGGCTGCCGCCAGAACGCAGCTACCTGACACAGACAGAGGAAGCTGTTGCAAAGTTCGGAAGGCATGAAGGGGCACCGTTCTTGAAGTAGGACACACACTGAGTGCCTGTGACACCCGGCAATGCCCTAGGCTATCCTGAGGGCTGCCCTGCCCATGACATCTCCAGGGATTAACCAAAGACCGGCACAGGTAGCGAAGGGCAAGGCGACAAGCAAGCAGGAAGGGACTTTGTTCTCTCAGTTGACACACGTGCCATTTGCTGGCGATGACTTCTATCACCATGAAAAGGCAGAAGAACCTGGTCCAGTCCAAAATCACACAAACGCAAGAGAAAGGGCCTGGTGAGACCAATATAGTCAATTTCCCTGAAAAAGAATTCAAAATAAAAGTCATAACCATGCTGATGGAGCTGCAGAGAAATATGCAAGAGCTAAGGGATGAATTCTGGAGGGAAATAACAGAAATGAAACAAACAAGGGAAGGATTTAACAGCAGACTGGATGAGGTACAAGAGACTGTTAACGGAATAGAAATCAGACATCAGGAATACAGAGAAGGTGACACAGAGAGATAAAAAGATCTCTGGGAATGAAAGAATATTAAGAGACTGTGCAACAAATCCAAATGGAACAATATTCACATAATAGGGGTTTCAGACGAAAAAGAAAAGAGAAAAAGGGATACGAAGTTCCTTTCAAGAAATAATTGCTGAAAATTTCCCCAAATTGGGGAAGGAAATAGTCTCTCAGACCATGGAAGTCCACAGATTTCCCAACACAAGGGACCCAAGGAGGACAAAGCTAAGACATTTAATAATTAAAATGACAAAGATCAAAGACAAGGACAGGAAATTAAAGGCAGCCAGAGAGAGAAAAAAGATCACATACAAAGGAAAATCCATCAGGCTATCATCAGACTTCTCAACAGACACCTTACAGGCCAGAAGAGAATGACATGGTATATTTAATGCAATACAACAGAAGAGCATTGAAACAAGAAAACTGTATCCAGCATGATTAACATTGAAATTTGAAGGAGGGATTAAAGAATTCCCAGATAAGCAAAAGTTGAAGGAATTTACCTCCCACAAACCACTTCTACAGCATCTTTTAAAGGGACTCCTCTAGATTGAATTACTCCTAAGGCTAAATAGATATCATAAGAGAAAATAAAATCACAGCAAAGAAAGCAGACCAACCAAATACTAACTAAAGGCAAAAAATAAAATCAACTATGCACAAAAGCAGTCAAGGGAAACACAAAAGAGTACAAAACAAAACACTTAGCATATAAAGAGTGGAGGAGGAAAAAGAAGAAGGGAGAGAAATAAAGAATAATCAGACTACACATATAATAGCATAATAAGTGAGTTAAAGTTAGAAGGTTGGATAGTAAAGAAGCTACCCTTGAACCTTTGGTAACCATGAATCCAAACCCTGCAATGGCAATAAGTATGGATCTATCGATAATCACCCAAAATAGAAATGGACTGAATGTACCAATCAAGACACAGAGTAACAGAATGGATAAAAAAGCAAGACCCATCTACATGCTGCTTACAAGAGATTCACCTCAAACCCAAAGACATACACAGACTGAAAGTCAAGGGATGGAAAAAGATATTTCATGCAAACAATAGGGAGAAAAAAGCAGGTGTTGCAGTAATTGTATCAGACAAAATAGAATTTAAAAAAAAAAGTAACAAGAGATAAAGAAGGACATTACATAATGATAAAGGGGTCAGTCCAATAAGAGGATATAACCATTATAAATATATATGCATCCAACACAGGAGCACCAACATATGTGAAACAAATACTAACAGAATTAAAGGAGGAAATAGAATGCAATGCATTCATTTTAGGAGACTTCAACACACCACTCACTCTAAATGACAGATCCACCAGACAGAAAATAAGTTAGGACACAGAGGCACTGAACAACACAATAGAACAGTTGGACCTAATAGACATCTATAGAATTCTACACCCAAAAGCAACAGGATACACATTCTTCTCAAGTGCACATGGAACATTTTCCAGAATAGACCACATGCTAGGCCACAAAAAGTGCCTCAGGAAATTCAAGATTAAAATTGTACCAAACAACTTCTCAGATCAGAAAGGCATAAAACTACAAATAAATTGTACAAGGAAAACAAAAAGGCTCACAAACGCATAGAAGTTTAACAACATGCTCCTAAATAATCAATGGATCAGTGACCAAATTAAAAGAGATCAAGCAATATATGGAAACAAATGACAACAATAGCACAATGTCCGAACTTCTGTGGGATGCAGTGAAGGCAGCTCTAAGAGGAAAGTATATAGTAATCCAGGCCTACTTAAGAATGAAGAACAATCCCAAATGAATAGTCTAAAGTCACAATTATTGAAACTGGAAAAAGAAGAACAAATGAGGTCCAAAGTAAGCAGAAGGAGGGACATAATAAACATCAGAGAAGAAATAAATAAAACTGAGAAGAATAAAACAATAGAAAAAATCATGAAACCAAAAAACAGGTGGTTCTTTGAGAAAATAAACAAAATGGATAGACGCCTAGCCAGACTTCTTAAGAGAAAAAGAGAATTTACACACATCAACAGAATGAGAAATGAGAAAGGAAAAATCACAATGGACACCACAGAAATACAAAGAATTATTAGAGAATACTATGAAAATCTACATGCTAACAAACTGGATAACCTAGAAGAGATGGACAACTTCCTAGAGAAATACAACCTTCCAAGACTGACCAAGGAAGAAACAGAAAATCTAAACAGATCAATTACCAGCAAAGAAATTGAATCAGTAATCAAAGAACTACCCAAGAACAAAACCCCTGGGCCAGATGGATTCACTGCTGAATTTTATCAGAAATATAGAGAAGACATGATACCCATACTCCTTCAAGTTTTCCAAAAAATAGAAGAGGAGGGAGGACTTCCAAACTCATTCTATGAAGGCAGCAGTACTCTAATACCAAAACCAGGCAAAGACCCCACAAAAAAAGAAAATTACAGACCAATATCCCTGATGAACATAGATGCAAAAATACCCCACATAATATTAGTAAAAGAAATTCAAAAATACATCAAAAAGATCATCCTTCATGATCAAGTGGGATTAATCCCAGGGATGCAAGGATGGTACAACATTAGAAAATCCAACAACATCATCCACCACATCAACAAAAAGAAGGACAAAAACCACATGATTATCTCCAAAGATGCTGAAAAAGCATTCAACAAAATTCAACGTCCATTCATGATAAAAATTCTTAACAAAATGAGTATAGAAGCCAAGTACTTCAACATAATAAAGGCCATATATGACATACCTACAGCTAACATTATACCTAACAGTGAAAAGCTGAAAGCTTTCACCTAAGATTGGGAACAAGACAGGGATGCTCACTCTCCCCACTTTTATTCAACATAGTACTGGAGGTCCTAGCCATGGAAATCAGACAAAACAAAGAAATAAAAGGCATCCAGATTGGTAAAGAAGAAGTCACACTGTTACTATTTGCAAATGACATGATATTGAACATAAAAAACCCTAAAGAACCCACTCCAAAAGTACTAGAACCAATATCTGAATTCAGCAAAGTTGCAGGATACAAAATTAATATACAGAAATCTGCTGCTTTCCTATACACTAATGATGAACTAGCAGAAAGAGAAATCAGGAAAACAATTCCATTTACAATAGCATCAAAAAGAATAAAATACCTACGAATAAACCTAACCAAGGAAGTGAAAGACCTATACCCTAAAAACTACAGGACACTCTTATGAGAAACTAAAGAGGACACTTACAAAAGGGATTTCATCCCATGCTGTTGGGTAGGAAGAATTAATATTGTCAAAAAGGCCATTCTGCCTAAAACGATCTACAGATTCAATGCAATTCCTATCAAAATACCAATGGCATTCTTCAAAGAACTGGAACAAATAGAGAGTCCTGATATTAACCCAAACATATATGGTCAATTAATATAGAATAAAGGAGCCATGGATATACAATGGGGAAATGACAGCCTCTTCAACAGTTGGTGTTGGCAAAACTGGACAGGTACATGTAAGAGAATGAAACTGGATCATTGCCTAACCCCATACATAAAAGTAAACTTGAAATGGATCAAAAACCTGAATGTAAGTCATGAAACCATAAAACTCTTAGAAAAAAACATAGGCAAAAATCTCTTGGACATAAACATGAGCAACTTCTTCATGAACATATCTTCCCTGGCAAGGGAAAGAAAAGCAAAAATGAACAAGTGGGACTATATCAAGCTAAAAAGCTTCTGTACAGCAAAGGACACCATCAATAGAATAAAAAGGCATCCTACAGTATGGGAGAATATATTCATAAATGACAGATCTGATAAAGGCTTGACATCCAAAATATATAGAGCTCATGCACCTCAACAAACAAATGCAAGTAAGCCAATTAAAAAATGGGCAGAGGATCTGAACAGACACTACTCCAAAGAAGAAATTCAGATGGCCAACAGGCACATGAAAAGATATTCCACATCGCTAATCATCAGAGAAATGCAAATTAAAACTACAATGAGATATCACACCAGTTAGGATGGCCACCATCCAAAAGACAAATAGCAACAAATGTTGGCGAGGATGTGGAGAGACGGGAACCCTCCTACACTGCTGGTGGGAATGTATCCTGGTTCAACCATTGTGGAAAGCAGTATGGAGGTTCCTCAAAATACTCAAAATAGAAATACCATTTGACCCAGGAATTCCACTTCTAGGAATGCAGAAGCCCAGTTTGAAGAAGACATATGCACCCCTTATGTTTTTTGCAGCACTATTTACAATAGCCAAGAAATGAAAGCAACCTAAGTGTCCATCAGTAGATGAATGAATAAAGAAGACGTGGTACATATACACAATGGAATATTATTCAGCCATAAGAAGAAAACAAATCCTACCATTTGCAACAACATGGATGGAGCTAGAGGGTATTATGCTCAGTGAAATAAGCCAGGCAGAGAAAGACATGTATGAAATGATTTTAGTCATCTGTGGAGTATAAGAACAAAGAAAAAACTGAAGGAACAAAACAGCAGCAGACTCACAGAACCCAAGAATGGACTAACAGTTACCACAGGGAAAGGGACTGGGGAGAATGGGTGGGATGGGGGAGATCAGGTAGAAAAAGGGGCATTACAATTAGCACAGTTAATGGAGAGGGGGTTGCATGGGGAATGCAGTACAACAGAGAGAAGACAAGTAGTGATTCTATAGCATCTTACTATGCTGATGGACAGTGACTGGAATGGGGTATGTGGTGGCGACTTGAATGATGGGGGGAGTGTAGTAACCATAATGTTACTCATGTAATTGTAAATTAATGATACAAAAAAAAGTGCATTTTTAAAAAAAGAAATTTTAGAAGATTACAGTGAGTGTAAGCTGATATTCATAATAATCAAGATATCTGACTATAAAAGTTTAAATCAGCTGTGCAAATATTTACCACTAATTACACATTTAGAAAAGTGAAATTATAAAACTTGTAATTAGTACTATGTTCAAATATGTTATTCAAAATAATCATGCTAAAAGTTCAACTACAATGTTCTCATAGGTGACCTATGGTATTACCCAACACAAAACTAAGTGGGATTGTTCCCTTCCTTCCTCCGGATAATATATATACTATCTCAAGGAATTCAGTATTCTCTGAGGTGGAATCTGGCATCCCGTAGACCTGCATGTAGCCCAACTCAGCCCCATCTTAGGTGGGTGATCTCGGCAGGTTACTTGAGCTTCTGGGAGGGTTTGTCAATATGATGCTTTAAATGACACATTTCCTGAATTTCTGTACTTGTATCTCCCTGGAACATCCTTTGCCATGCTGGTCCCCTTACCTCAGAACCACGTCATTCTAAGTGGGGTACCCTTTCTCTGGGCTCACCTGGATTCCTAAACACAGTTCTGTCATAGCACATGTCATACCGTGCCTCAATCACCTGTTTTTCCCTCAGTCTGAAATCCCCTAAAGGGCAAGGACAGCATCTGTTACCTGTATGGATTGGCACACTGGACTCTGGCTACCTGCCCATTCAACCACCGTATGAAATGCTGCTGAATCACAAAACCGTGCCAAGTTCTGAACCACTACAAACTCACACAACCTATTGTCATCAGTGTTCTGCTGCAACATATTGCTAAGTTTTGTGTTCATGGCATAGTTTCCACTTTTTTTTTGCTCTGAGGAGGACGGAGTAAGGAAGGTGAAACTCAGAGGAGCTAAGTGGCAGAGACGGTTCTGAACTGAGTTTCAACTCCAAATCCAAGGTTCTATCCATACTCTGTTCACTTAACACATGTTGACAAGAACCATTTCAAATCTTGTTATTTTAAAATAATCCACCCCTGCCTTCCCTTTGAGCAAATTATCTAGACTCCTAATTACTGAAAAGATCACAGACTACTCTGTATCACCTCTACATAAGCATAAATATCCTCTTAACTCTATCATTTCATATCTCAGAAGCAATACATACTTCATCATTAGAAAACTAGAAAGCAAAAGTGGGGGTCAAAAACACTACCACCTGAAATTTTACAACCAGAACATAGTCACTGTTAATATTTTGGTATGTATATGCCTGTAATTATACCCCTGTAGCTATATAAAGAACATTAAATTATTTTTACCAAAGTGAGATCTTACTGCGCAACTTTTAAAAATAATTTTTTCTTAATAAATGAAGAGCTTTCCATGTCATTTAACATAGAATCATATCATTTTAATAGCCTAAAGATACTCTATTGCATAATTAAATAATCCCATTTTGAAGCATTTAGGTTAGTTTTAACTTGTTATTTTATCAGCAATACTGTAGTGAAGATCTGTACATTTTACACAGTATGTATGTTTCAATACATATTTTTTTGTCAGTAATAAACAGCATTAAACAGTTTAATTCTTTAGCTCAAACAGAGCTAACCAATCAGGTTAAAGTCACTCTACCACTGTCTATTTTGGATTTTTTGGGGGGCCACCATCACATCCTCCAAAAATCATAGAGTAGGCACAATAGCACAGAAATCTCAAAATGAGTTTTAAGTTTCCAATCATTAAATCTTAAACAGTAATTTGAGCTTAAGGACCATTCTCCTGTTTCCAAGTCTACCCATACAAAAGATGCAATAATATATTACTACTATTTAACATATACATGGCAAAGCTCTCTCATTTTAACTTCTCAATGATTCTGTATGGGATGAGCAGTTAGATATTCATTTTACAGATAAGGAAACTGAATTTCAGCGATGTCATCTATCTGAAGTCAAACAACAGAACTGTGGCTCAAGCTCAGCCTGACGCCACATCTAAACTCAAGTCTTCCTCTTACATTGTATTGCTGGACCAAGACAATACTACAAATGACCCAGAGATTTTAGCCATCTTGAAATTCTTACCTTCAGTTACTAGTAGCTCATCTTGAAAGGCTTCAGCAAAATCAATGATCTGCAGCACACTATTTTCTGGAAATATCTGTCCTATAACCCCTGGTTTATGTAACAGGGCTCTGCCAAATAGAAATTTTTTTTTATACAAAAGTGGTTTTATATATAAAATGACCTTAGTTAGAACTCATTAGTATATGTGGCAAATCCCACTAATAGCATGACATATTAGTAAATAGATCTCATGTCTTAAGTTCTAATGTAAGTCATTTTAAAAACAAAGCCTACTTTGAAAGTTCCCTTAAAAGTTATATATGGTAGTATAATAATCAGTTTCAGTTAGATACTAACATCAAAACAAGAAGTTCCTAATATAAGAGTAGAAAGAAAATTAAAATTACACTTTTTTTAGGTCTTATATTTTTATTATTTGTGATGATTTGGTTATAGTTAGAAATTTACCTCAGAAGAAAAGACTGTATTGAGAAAATGATAAAATTAAACATCAGAGGAAGACATTTAAATGACCATGTAACTGTCTCTCTGGCCTCTTCTAGAAAATTTTGAGGTAAGAGAATTAAAATGTTAATTTCCCCATAAACTCCAATATTTACCAAGGAAATCTCATTACTGTAAGTTTTAAATATGCTGATTTGTATATCCCAGTATAGGAAAAGGAAAATACAAATAAAAAACCTGATAACTGAATTTCTCCAAATGCCAATTTCTATTTCTAAAATACTTAATTGAGAAAAAACCAGGTTTAAAGTTGAGCTCTTCACACTGGGTCTGTTTTCACATCATGTAGTAATTCATGACTGAACTCTTTTTAAACATTTCCAATAATCCTCAACAGGTTAAAAATAAAAATATTTCTTAAGTTATATATCAGAATAAAACAAAGCAAGGCATAAAGTGTTGGAAGAAGTAAAGAATGATATCTGCATGAGCCCCACCCCTGCTGGGAGTCAGTGATTTCCTTCTAAGAGATGAAACATTGTGAGCTTCACTTACTTCATATTCAGGTCCTCTAGGCTAAGAGACAAAATTTTGTAATACAAGAACACTGAATCCAACATACAAGAATGTTAAATCATACCTAAATCTAACTAAATTTAACATCATTTTAGCATATTAAACTATATTTAAACTAGATGCATCAAATTTTCTAGAAGTGTATGATTTATGAAGCTAGCCAAGTTAAACATCTGATTCTTTCAAGTAAATTCACAACATTCCCAGAAATATTCCAGATAAGTCAGGTGCGCTTATACAATACATTCTTTCAGTCAGTAGTTCTTAAAGCTTTTCTGACTGATCTACTTTCACTACAAGGTGGTCCTACTTTGAAGTCTGAGGCCCCTGAGTAAAGGAAAAGAGGCATAGCACACATGTCTAGAAAAGAAGACACACTGCCAAGTTTGGAGAAGACTTTTCTATAGGTGTTTTTTCCTCACATTATGGTAGCTTAACAGCTACATGAATTTTACCAAGATTTTTCACCTACTGGTTCACTAATAAGTAGAGAAACATACTCTATAAATTCCCAATCTCAAACCATACCATTTTTTAAAGCCCCCATTATTTCTACTGAATAGTTCCCAACATCATCTAAGGTAAGTGACCTACCTACGATACTGCTGCCTTGAAATTTCATCTCCACCAAAAAAGCATATAGTTGAAAGTTCTGTTGCAGTTTTATAATTGCTATTTCTGTCTGATGGATTATATATTACAGTAACATCCTGATGCCAAGAAAAAGAATCAGGGGTGAATATTAAACATTTTTCTTGAGTAAGTAATTTCATTCCAAGAAAATCGGTAAGTACTTCTACTTATCTATTATTTTCAGATATTATTTTAGTATTTAGCCATAAAATATAAAATTATTAATTTAACCTAAAAATGGGGTCATATTTCTAATGTATAAACTTTTATACTTACTTGTTGTGTTTTTCCCTTGAGCACAAATTTATCTGGAAAAATCCTTAATACTTCAGGATCCAGCAAAACCTTTTTCTGAGAATCCTTAAAACCTACTGCTTTAACAAAGGCTGCCCGAGAGCCAGTGTTGTGAACAGAAAAAACAATTCTACTTTCTTTGCCAGGTATTAAGTCATTCACTGTTACCATGTAACTGTCAGATAATTTTTTAACATCTTCCAAAATAAGATGACTTGTTCCACCATATCCAGACAAAGGTATCTAAAACCACAGAATACATACATCCAAAGTTATTTTTCTGTAAGCAGAAAGCAGATTAAATAACAGGTAGAGAAGAATATAATACAGATTTAATTAAAATTACTATTCCTTGTATACTTTGGATAGTAGTTATCACACCTCCATTGAAGCATTATATTAAAGACTTTGGCTTAAGAGAAAAACAAGTCAATGAACTATGACACTATTTACCTCCTAATATGCTTAACTATTGTACTGCTAGAACAGCCAAGCTTAGACGATAAAGTAGTAAGATTAGATATTCTTGCTTAAAAAGTGTTTGGGTGAGCATGCTGATGCATGTACTTCACTTTGAAACACACAAAAAATAGATGAATTGATGGTTAGACACATGGTAAAAGAAATAAAGCAAAATGTTAATTGTAGAATTTAAGTAGTAGGGTATGCGAGTGTTCACCACCTAATTATTTTAATTTTTGAAATGAAATGCTTTTGGGGAAAAAAATCTATGGTCATATAATCCTGTTAGCTCCTGGTGTAGCAAAGTCAGAGAGAAGCATGTCAAAGGGGCCAACTAGAAGCCAAGAACACAAAGTTCAGAGGACAAGACACCCCAGAGTAGTAAGGGTGCCAACCGGAACTGTTCCTAAGCCCAGCTGCTCCCACAGGGCTCAGTGCTACAGGAAACAGGATTCACAGAAAAAAACCTGTATGTGAGAATGTAGGAAAATAGGTACCCTGCTGGAAAAGACATTTCATACCCTTTTAAAAATTATTTTCATTCCTATTACATAGGTTTCAAAGAACCCCTTGCAAACCTGAAACTATCACAGCTTACTGAGTTGTGTTATGTACTTAATCAAAACAGCACTTGGAGAAATTAAATTTAGGTTCCTCACAAATTGGTAGCGGTTTGCCTGTTAGTAACAATAACAATGTTTTAAGAGGCTTCTGAAGTTCCTACAAATCCCACCTCAATCAAAGTGAGCTGTCAGTTTCTAGAGCCAAGTGTTTCTAATTTTTCTTTTCTCAAAAAAACTTGCAAATAAATTTTATATATGAAACCAGAAAACACCAGGGAAGAAGTTAGCTTTTGAAAACACTCAAGTGTTCTTATTGTATTTTTAAAGCCTAAGGAATCACAAGTAACTACTGATTAAAAGGTTAAGAAGAATAATTACTGTATAGAACAAATTACACCAATGCTAATTATTCCAAAGATTAAACAAGAAAAATGGATTACTCTAGAGCAGGGTTTCTTCACTTGGGCACTACAGATATTTTGCACTGGATCATTTGATGTGGGGCTGTCCTGTGTACTGTAGGGTGTTTAGCTGCATCCCTGGTTTCTACCCACTAGATGCCAGTAGCACCCTTTTCCTACCCCCAGTTATGACAACCAAAAATGTTTCCCAATATTGTCAAATGCTCCCTGGAGGGTAAAACAGCCTCTGAGCATCACTGAAATATAGGACTAGAAAACAAAGAGCTAGTATGAAAGCTTAGAGCCGACAAAATAGATAAACATGTGTTCTACAGTCAGGCAGCCTGAATTTGAACCTGTCCTAGACCACTTACTGACATATAAGGTGCACGACCATGGGCAGGCATCTCTCTACACCTCAGTTTCCACATGTGCAGAATGGAGATAATGGTATGATCTCATACAGTTGCTTTGAATATAAAATGTGGTAATCCATGTCGTGATTATGAGTAGTTCCTGGCATATACTCAGCATGCAATACATCCATTTTTATTGCCATCCCATCATGCTTTATGGTACTAAAACATAGATAACTTCATTTGTTCCTCGGAACCAAACTGGAAAGTCGGGGTGGCAACTAGGTGCTTTTCAGATAAGGGAGTGAAGCACGAGCAGGTGGAGAGACTGACCTAGGGTGAGTGTGAAGGATCCAGAGGCACAGCTGTTCCCAGATGCTCATCCCTGGAGGCACTGCTCCTCCACCACTGTACCAGCCAACTTATCGAAGCTAAAAGTCTAAAGTTTTGTGAGATAGAAGCCATATTCATCTGTGCACTTCAGGCCCCCATTCAGCCCACCTCTGAGGATATGCAGATGCAGGAGGCATCTACCTAGGAAGGACTCTCACCAGGATCCTGGTTTGTCTTAAGAGGCCATCAACCTGAACTTCTGCTTGGTTGACTATCAAATCAAATGGCTTTGCCCTAAACCACCAGGGAATTATTAGTTCTCCAGAGACTCTTGCTTAAGAATAACTTCACAATCATGGCTGGTAAACCTGAAACTAATCAAAATATACTCAGGATAGTTTGAAAGAAACAGCCGATTTAGTCCTCTCCACAAACCATTTGATCCTTACTTGAAAACAGATCATCAGAGTATGTAACACTTTGGCACTATTTCTCGGGTTCTCATGTAAGGATGTTATTTCTAAAAACTTATACCTTTAAACAGTTTTGCCCACCATAGTTTACAGGACTAAATGAAGAGCTCCACAGAGAGTCTGTCAAGCTCCAGCATAAAATGAAGCTAGGTTTGCATAAATACCTATTTAAAAAAACCAAAACCTCTTAGTTAATCTTATAACTTTATCACATTCCTTCTTTGACACCAGGAAATGCGCTAAAATTTCAGTCCCAGACCCACTGCCAAACAACTGTGCAGTTTGTAATAAAGGTACTTTTACAGCACTTGAGTTTCATTTATGACTATCTTGTCCTTATTTCGTTTTCTCATTGATTAAAGCCTTATGTCTTAGTGCTCTGAATGTACCTAAAGAATTGACTTGAAATTCTTTTAAAAACTATGCTGGGAAGAAACAAAACACAATTTTTGTCTTTTTATCCCTAGTTTCTTTAATAGCAAAATAGTGTCAACAGGTATTTTGCTGAATTGAAAGAATAAAACTCACTTGAGAATTCATTATCTTAAACAGTTCCATCTGGATCTACCAAAAAAATGTGTTCCTGAAAAGCAGGACACATTTCAAAATTCTCAAACAGAAATGAAACTTAAAGGCATTAGAATACCACAAAAGACTCCAAATAGCCAAAGAAATTCTGAGAAAGAAGAACAAAGCTAGGGGGATTATACTCCCTAATTTCAAGCTGAACTACAAACCTACAGGAATCAAAACACTTTGGTACTGGCAGAAGAACAGACCCATACATCATTGGAACAGAATAGAGAGCCCAGATATAAATCCACACATACATAGTCAATTAATATATGATAAAGGAACCATGAGTATACAGTGGGGAAAAGACAGGTCTTCAACAAATAGCATTGGCAAAACTGGACAGCTACGTATAAAAGAATGAAACTGGATTATTGTCTAACTCCATACATGAAAGTAAACTTGAAATGGATCAAAGTCCTGAATGTAAGTCATGAATCATAAAACTCAGAAGAAAACATATGGAAAAATCTCTTGAATGTAAACATGAGCAACTTTTTCTGAACACATCTCCTTGGGCAAGGGAAACAAAGTGAAAAAAGAACAAGTGTGACTATATCATACTAAAAAGCTTCTGTACAGCAAAGGACACCATCAGTAGAACAAAAAGACATCCTACAGTATGGGAAAATATATTAATAGATGAATTATCCAATAAGGAGTTAAGATCCAAAATATATAAGAAGCTCACATGCCTCAACACCCAAAAAACAAATAACCCAATTAAAAAATGGGCGGAGGATATGAACAGACACTTCTCCAAAAAAGAAATTCACATAGCCAACAGGCACAGAAAAGATGCTCCACATCACTAATTATCAGGGAAATGCAAATTAAAACCACAATGAGATATCACCTCACATCAGTTAGGATGGCCAACATTGAAAAGACTTAGGAACAACCAATGCTGGAAAGGATGTGGAGAAGGGGGAACCCTTCTACACTGTTGGTAGGAATGGAAATTACTTCAACCATTGTGGAAAGCAATATGAAGGTTCCTCAAAAAACTAAAAATAGAAATACCACTTGACCCAGGAATTCTGCTCCTAAGAATTTACCTGAAGAAAGCAAGATCCCTGATTCAAAGACATATGCACCCCTGTGTTTATTGCAGCACTATTTACAAAGCCAAGATATGAAAGCAATCTAAGTGTCATCAGTAGATGAATGGATACAGAAAATGTGGTACATATACACAATAGAATATTATTCAGCCATAAAAAGAAAAGAAATCCTGCCATTTGCAGCAACATGGATGGAGCTAGAGGGTATTATGCTGAGTGAAATATGATTTCACTTATTTGTAGAATATAAAAACAAAGTAAAACAGAAGGAACAAAAGAGCAGTAGACTCACAGACACTGACAAGTGACTAGTGGTTACTTGGAGGAAAGGGCTGGGGAGGGTGTGGGGGAATAAAATAATTTTTCTGTCTGTACTTGGAAGAAGAGCTCACTTCACATCTCCCTTTGCAACAACAATTATATAAAGGGGCACAGTAATTCACCATCACAATATAAACTGGCCACAGGGATGGTAATACAGAATGAAGAATAAATATGGTTAATGATTCTGTAACATCTTTGTACATTGATAGATACTGACTGCAATAGAGGGGGTAAGGACCTGATAATGTTTAACTGCTGAACCACAGTGTTGTACATTTGAAACCAACATAAGACTGTATATCAACCATACTTTAATAAAAAAGCATTACAAGAGATTATACTTACAGAAATACTTTTGGTGACTGCTTTTACCACACAACAATTCTACAAAGGTTGTAATTATACAGTTACTCCCTAATTTATCTGTAAATCTAAGCAATCACATGCTTTGACTTTTAAAAAGTAGTGTTTAAATAATTTATCAATATTAAAATAGTTAAAAAAACAGGTCATAAACTCTATAGAAAGAAAAAAGCAATAAAATTCTCTTACTGTGAACTTAATGGCTGGTTGTGATCTAATTCCAAGTTGTTTAATTTCTAGTTTAGCCAACATACAAGATAGTCGAGTAGGTGCAAATAATACAAAGATGTTACTGTCTTCCTTCGGATCAATTCTGATCTCACAGTTACTGGTCAATCTCTCCTCTGAACCAAAAGTGTGCTGAAGCTACAATTTAAAAACAATCATTGCATAAAACAAAGTAGTAGCATAAATAAAACAGCATTAACATAAATTCTTCAAAGATGATTAATACAAAATAGCCTGCATATGTAAGTGTTCTGGACACAGACAGAACATAAAACAGCACAAAACCATACACTCCACAAACCTGAAAGCAGTCCTGATCTTGTCCTCTAATAAGCAGTCGTAAATGTTGAGTTGTAGATGTACAATTATTTCTTAAAGTTAGTTTCTGAAGCCTAAAAACAATTACATATTTTAAATGTAGATTTCCTCCATGGATATTGCTACAATTATAAAAACAAAGCCAATTAAAACTACCTTCAATGTTTAGAGACAGACTGATTGCATAAGACATTTTAGCAGCCTGGAATTGTCTCTTCAAAGTCTTAGAACTCTACATTTCTAAAAACATACTTTCAAATTTCACTTTCTCATCAGAGAAGGTTTTTGGTTTAATTTCTCTCTGATCATGGATTCTTAGCATTATTATTTATACTATATGCACAGGTATTCTCTGTCTTATAAAACATTAATCAATGAAAATCCAGTGACAAATTCATTGTTATTATTAACTCAAATACCTAGCTCTCACAGAAATGAGGGGTCCTAGACACACTGCCAAGATTCTTCACTCTAAGAGATTCATTTGGACAAAGTAGTCTTTTAAACAAAATACTAAATTAGCCTTACTTTTAAACAGTTACCATGAAAGTAGCTGGTTGGTAGTAAGAGAATCCTTCAGTCTTTAAAATTATATGATTCCTCTCTACATTGGACAATAGAGAATACATGAGTACATCATTTACTCAAATTTTGAAAATCAGCAGTTAAATTAGTCAAGCTGTGGTCTATGCCTTGTTTACCTTGTCTTAGAATGAAATTTAAGACCTTTGGCTGTCAGCACATTTAAGCAAAACCTTCCACAGATACACTGCCTGGGAAAGACTGATCTGAAAAAAAATCTGCTATTGTCCTATATGTTTATTTTTTATTTTTAAAGAAGTGTGTTTATCATTTCCAAGTAGTAGAGTAATCAAGTGATATCAAGAAACCTCAGTTTCTTGTTTTAAAAAAAACTATACAAAAGCTGGTGGAGGGGAGGTGGGGGATAAGGCAGCATGAGAAGTGAGGCAGAAATCTCAAAAAACCACATATACTGTGAAAATACAGCAAATACATCTATTCCTAAAAGAGTGACCAGAAGTAACAGTACACTAGCCACTATACATCTGGGAGAAGTGAACATCTCTTGGACAAGTGTGAAGTAAAAAAGTCAGGACCTGGTGGAACCCAAGCACTCTCTCCAACACAGCTCATCAGTGGGAAGAAGAGAATCAGAGCCTGGAGGGAGTAGAAGCCCAGAACTGATAAATACCCAGCTGTATAAATCTACTCCAGGAGCACAAACCCACACTGCATGGAGCTCTGGAGATTACAGGGTGTGAAAACAAAAGTCAGAGACTGACACTGCAAACAGGTTCCACAACAAGCTGCCTTGGGACAAAAGAAAGGAAGGTGATTTGAAAGACTTCTCAACAGTGAGAGGACTGGGCAACAATTTAGGAGAAGGAACAGGTGAACAAAATTGTGGCACACTCAGTACTGGGAACTTTCAGGAGCTTCAGGCGCTCCATTCCTCTTCATGGCTACACAGCTCAAAGGACCTCCACCATGATACGCAGCCTGTGCACCATCCTCCCGGCAACCCCACACCTGGCTCACAAATTGGCAAACCCTGCCCTGGCATCAGGCATACAGAGGGAAGCCCCACTTACAGCAGCTACTAACACAAAGCACAGAAGCTTACCCCTGTGTGTTTGGCCCACTGGTCTGGCAGTAGAGACAGGCATAGCAACTTGGAAGCAGGAAAAGGCGCTTACCTACCCCCAGGCACCACCACCACTCCCCTGCGACCCCCGACATCACTCGAGGCATTGGGCAGCATTGAAGAGCAGAGCTTCTGGACACTAGAGGATGCGCCTAAACAAAATTAATGTTTCTTACTACGCAACGGTATTACGAAAAGGCAAAATAACCTTCTTGAAACAAAAATCCCCAAGCAACAAAGAGGGGGCTATGTGAGACTGAAATCACCAATCTTCTTGAAAAACAATTCAAACTAAAAGTCGTAAGCATGCTAATGGAGCTCTAAAAAAAATAATGAAGAGCTAATGAACAAATTCAGGACGAAGATAAGACACCTTAAAAAAATAGTAGCTGAAATGAAACAAACAATGGAGGTATTTAAAAGCATATTGGATGAGGTAGATTAGACGGTAAATGGAAAAGAAATTAGAGAACAGGAATACAAAGAATCTGACGCAGAGAGAGAAAAAAGGATCTCTAGGAATGAAAGAATATTAAGAGAACTGTGTGACCTATCCAAATGGAACAGTATTTGCATTAAATGGGTACCAGATGGGGGAGAAAAAGAGATAGAAAGTGTCTTTGAAGAAATAGTTGCTGAAAGTTTCCCCAAGCTGGGGAAGGAAATAGTTTCTCAGGCCATGGATGCCCACAGATCTTCTAACACAAGGGACACATGGAGCACAACACCAAGACATAAAATATATAAAATGGCAAAGATAAAGGACAAGGACACAGTATTAAAAGCAGCCAGAGAGAGAAAGAATATCAACTACAAAGGAAAACCCATCAGGCTATCACCAGAATTCTCAACAGAAACCTTACAGGCCAGAAGGGAGTGGCATGATATATTTAATTAACAAAATGGAAGGACCTTGAACCAAGACTACTCTAGCCAGCAAGATTATCATTTAAATTTAAAGGAGGAATTAAACAAATCCCAGATAAGGAGAAGTTGAGGGAATTTACCTCCACAACCATCTCTACATTGTATTTTAAAGGGACTGCTCTAAAAGGAAGTGTGCCTAAGGCTAAACAGCTGTCACCAGAGAAAATAAAGCCACAGTAAAGGAAAGAGAGCAATTAAACACTAACCAAATGTAAAATAAAAACAGGTACCCACAAAATCAGCCAAGGAATACACAAAGAACACAGAATATGACACCAAACATATAAAGAGTGGAGAAGGAAAAAAAAGAATATTCCGATTGTGCTTATATACCACAATAAGCAAGTTAAGTTAGACTGTTAGATGGTAAAGAAGTTGCCCATGAACTTTTGGTAACCATGAATCCAAAGCCTGCAATGGCAATAAGTACATATCTATCAATAATCATCTTAAATGCAAATGGACTGAATGCACCAATCAAAAGATACGGAGTTACAGAATGGATAATAAAGCAAGACCTGTCTATACATTGCCTACAAGAGACTCACTTCAAACCCAAAGACATACACAGACTAAAAGAGAAGGGATGGAAAAAGATATTTCATGCAAAAAACAGGGAGAAACAAAGCAGGAGTTGCAATACTCTTAAAAGACAAAATAGGGCTCTCTTGTCCCCTCCTGGCTTGAGCCAGGAGCCCTGCCCTCTAACTTTATCTCTAAATAAAAGCTTCTGCCTTAAAAAANATACTAACAGAATTACAGGGAGAAATAGAATGCAATGCACTCATTTTGGGAGACTTCAACAAAACACTCCAAAGGACAGATCAAACAGACAGAAAATAAGTAATGAGACAGAGGAACTGAACAACACATAAGAACAGTTGGAACTAAAAGACGTAAGGAACTCTACACCCAAAGGCAGCAGAATACACACTCTTCTCAAGTGCACATGGTACATTTCCCAGAACAGATGACATACTAGGCGAGAAAAAGAGTCTCACCAAATTCAAAAACACTGACATTTTACCAAACAAGTTTTCAGATCACAAAGGTATGAAACTAGAAATAAATGGTTCAAAGAAAACAAAAATGGTGACAAACACATGGAGGCTTAACAACATGCTCCTGAATAATCAATGGATCAAGGACCAAATTAAAGCAGCAAACAATATATGGAGACAAATGAAAACCCAGCTCAATGCCCCAACTTCTGTGGGATGCAGCAAAGGTAGTTCTAAGAAAAAACAACATAGCAATACACACCTATTTAAGAAGGAAGAACAATCCAAAATGAACAGTCTTAACTCACAGTTAATGAAACTAGAAAAGGAAGAAAGAAAAGAAGCCCAAAGTCAGTAGAAGAAGGGACATAATAATAATTAAAGCAGAAATAAATAAAATTGTGAAGAATAAAACAATAGAATCAATGAAAGCAGGAGCTGGTACTTCGAGAAAATAAACAAAGTAGATAAACCCCTAGCCAGACATATCAAGAAAAAAAGAGTCTACACACATACACACAATCAGAAATAAGAAAGGAAAAATCACAATGGACACCACAGAAATACAAAGAATTATTAGAGAATACTATGAAAATCTACATGCTAACAAACTGGATAACCTAAAAGAAATGGACAACTTTCTAGGAAAATACAACCTTCCAAGGCTGACCCAGGAAGAAATGGAAATTCTGAATACATAAATTACTAGCAAAGAAGTTGAATTGGTAATAAAAAAACTACCTAAGAACAAAATGCCTAGACCAGATGGTTTCACTGCTGAATTTTATCAAACATTTACTGAAGAACTAATGCCCATTCTCTTTAAAGTTTTCCAAAAAGTAGAACAGGAGGGAATACTCCCAAACACATTTTATGAGGCAAACATCACTCTTATGCCAAACCCATGCAAAGACACCACAAAAAAAGAAAATTACAGACCAATATCTCTGATGAACATAGATGCAAAAATACTCAATAAAATACTAGCAAACTGAATTAAAAAACACATCAAAAAGATCATCCATCATCATCAAGTGGGATTCATCCCAGGGATGCAAGGATGGCACAACATTCGAAAATCCGTCAACATCATCAACTACATCAACAAAAAGGACAAAAACCACATGATCATCTCCAGAGATGATGAAAAAGCATATGAGAAAATTAAATATCCATTCATGATAAAAACTCTCAACAAAATGGGTATACAGGGCAAGTAACTCAACATAATAAAGGCCACATATATGACAAACCCACAGCCAATATCATACTAAACGGTGAGAAGCTGAAATATTTCCTCTAAGATCGGGAACAAGACAAGGATGCTCACACTCCTCACTTTTATTCAACACAGGTCCTAGCCATGGGAATGAGACAAAACAAAGAAATAAAAGGCATCCAGATTGACAAGGAAGAAATTAAACTATCCCTCTATGCAGATGACATATTATACATAAAAACCCCTAAAGAATCCACTCCA